TCAATGTTTGGGGTTTTTTGCAAAGAAGATCTTATTATTTTCTCACCCAATTGATCGACTGACTTGTGCAAGTTCCTAGTGTGAATTTTTACGTTTTTAAGGGATACTTTAAGAAAAAAAGCAGAGGCAGATCAAACAGAGACAATGCTAACTAAAACACAGACATGCAGCAGACACTGAAGATCTGTCTCTAAAACATGGAGCAATGCAATGCAAACTGCTATGCACCTAAACCAAGTGTGTGGTTTAATGGTGAGGCATTGTACAGTTAAATCAGCTTTTAAATATTTATTATAAAACAGTATTTGTTTTATTTGTTAAAACAGATCAGTTAATTGCTGATCTTGTCATTCAAAATGAACTCAGTAAGGGGCTCGGTTCTGTTTGACTTAAGAGCTGACTTTATCTACACATTACCCCAGAATTATAGTGTTTGCATTGCTTCAGCCTGTTCTGATTGAACTCAGACAGCTGTAAAGTAAACATCTTGGCAGCACAGAGCTCCACCACTGGACCTTGTGTCATGATAGTGCAGACACTGTCGTGGGTGGACAGGGCCCCGACATTGCCACACAGTGTGATAGCACTACTGTGACTGAGAGGGCCTGGAAATTAAAATTTCCACTTTCCTTGGCCTGTTGTGCAAAGCCATTGAAAAGCAACTTGGACCTCGAGTTTTCTTCAATGAGATTGCTTGACTTTGCTCATTGTACAGGGCCTGGTTTAGATGATCACGTGGAAGAATATTTACCAAATCCGACACTTCCACTGTCTTAGGCCTGGGGTGTTGCAGAACTCAATAGACCACCAGTAGTTTATTTCAGAGCCTTCATAGAAGATGACATTGTTTTTAACCAGTGGTTCTGTCCCTGTAGTACCCCAGTGTCTGCTGGGACAGATGTAGGTCTTGATTAGCAAGATGAGGAGAGACCACAGAAAGTTCTATGTGTTGAACGTGTTGTAGATACTTCTCTGTAACTAGGGTCTTTTTAAAATCAAGGCCTGGAAGCTGAAAAAAAACCCTAAACCAAGCAACAGTAATTAACACTGGTGATAAAGAGCCCAGCTGAAACAAAAAACAGCAGTCACAGATGTCCCTGAGAACCCCTGTTCTGAATTGATGTGAGCTAGTGGTATCAGTATTTATTGACAAAGCCAACGATATGGGATAATCTAATAATCCCTGGCCCTGTCACAGCTCACACCACAGGAAAGACCTTCTAAAATGGCTGTTTGCTGATGCTCAGGGTCAAAATCAATGCAATCCCTGACACAGGATTGAACTTCAGGGGGATTTTCAGACCAACCAATCGCCTGGTTGTTTTTGTGTTGTTTCAGGTCGTCTTCTGAACATTGTTGTCTTCCTCACACTGTTTGGGAACCTCTGTTTTGGTGAGTTACTTTCAGATCTTTCTTGTTCATTGGTTCCAATTTCAGGATTTGAAAAAAGGTGTATGACTTCATTTTTGACTAACAATTTGCACTTCACTACCCTGTGGCTTACATAAGTATGCACCCCTTTCCGAAAATGTTATTAAAACAGATGTTGTGTACACATTGTTTAGAAGGTAATAAGTGTCCTGTTTTGATTTTCAGGTTTATTTTGCTACCTCTGCTACCTTCATGCAGACCCTTGCAGTTGTCTGCAATACGTTTCGTGGCTACATTTGTTTGGCTGATGTTAGGAGGTGATGCTCTTGCCCAATTTGAATTCCAACAATGCTCTTTTAATGCAATTAAATTCTGTTTTATTACCTGCCAAGTTTGGTACCAGTGTGTACCGTAGAGGGTGCTAGCACAGTCAGGATAAAGAACTTCGCTCAGAGATGTAGGGATCTGAGATTCAAATCGATAACTACTATCAAGAGTCCTGCCTTAACCATCTCTGCCTTGTCTCAGTGGTTCTCTAATCCAGTAACAATATAACAGAATTTGATCTATTTCACCTTCATGTATAATTTATTGTAATAGTCCTCCTAATGTGGTCTATTTTCCTTGCAGGTTTCGAAGTTTGTTCCGGGAGACCTGCGGCATTAGAGTTTAATGTATCTGGCCCTGTGGAGGGACTTATCAGTATTTACCATGACACTGAAAAGTTACCGGTGTATTCTAACAAATCTGTGCCCCAGGAATGCCCTGCAAAAATGCTGGAAAGCAAATTGTTGTGCTGGTCTTCGTTTGGCAGGACCTTGCTTTTTTACAGATCGAATGTCTCGGAGGGCGACCGAGGCCGATATGATCTGGAATATGACACCCTGCACAGGAGAGGACAGAGTTCCACCAATAAACTGACTGTGCTGAAAAGTAGGTTCTGGTGCTTGCCTGCTTATCTCACTTCAACGTAATTATTTTGAAAGGAGGAAATTTTATTATCTTTGTCAATTATTTTATGATAATTATCACGCTTACCAGTTTAGGGAAAGGCCCCAGTCACCGGTAATTTTTTTTGGCTAATGTGTTCTGTATTCCTTCTTTGAGTTCTTTTAATGATAAAGTTTTTGTCCTTCTTCTGTTGACAGACAAATATTTATCTCACTGCTTAGTTTCCATTTTTTCTCTGTGCGGGGCAGCTGAGCCCTGCTGTGGCTTTGCTCTCAAACCAGTTTATAGATCTTGTAACTCTTTGACGTCTAATCCCACATTTATATTGTTTCAGATTGTACCTCACAAAGGACCACCACTCTTCCGGGTAAGTCAGTGCTCTGCAAATGTTTGGGCCATATTCAGCCCTTGCACAACAATTTGAGACAGAAAACAGACTTTGTTGTTGTGGACACATACTATCAGAATGATTCAAACATTAAAATTAAATTAGATTCAAAGATCTTGTAGGGCTTGCTACGTCTGACTGCTGTCATGTGATTGCTGCCCTAACAAGCTGTTTTATTTGACTATTTTATGGTTTCTGTTCTTACAGCTACAACTTACCCCCATCTACCTCCCCAAGGAAATGAATATGGTAAGCTCTGCTAAAATAGGAAGAGGGAGTTAAAGCTGTCCTTTTTTTATCACAGCTATCCCTTACGAGCAGAAAATATTCTGCCATTAAGAAGCTGCTATATGTAATGGTTACAGAAATACAATCCTTTGTAGTAGCTTAATTGATCTTGAGGTTTCATGCTAAAAAACAGCTTTTAGTTCTGGTTTTTTGTTCCCCAGTGATGATATTGTGCATATTGAAAACTTTTTTGCTTTAATGGCCTTGCCAGGTTTATGGGTTGTGTAACAGGACAGGAATCAATTTGGGGGTCTAGAGAAACATGCAGAGATTTATCCTCATGTAAACTAGTTCTTCTGTGAACAAGTTAATCCTATGTGAACTAGATCTCAGCTAGTTGACTAACAGACTCTGAGCTGTTAAACATGTGCACTGATGGTGTGATAAATTCTTAGTGTATGGATAAAATGTCTAAAAGACCTGTTCTAATCTTAGGACTTTTGTTATGTTCTTATGAGCAGAAGACGCAGTTTTGAATCTTGAAATGATACATTTTTGTTCTCTTAATCCAGGTGTGGTGGCAGTAGCTGTTATACTCGGTGTATGTGCTATATTTGGAATCTCTGCATTCGTGTAAGCCTGATCCTTTTCTATTCATGTGTCTTTCTGGAGGCCTGAGTCAAACATATCCTGCAAGCTCCACTTTCGCTATTCAGATCATTGTTGTGTTTCAGATTCCTTGTGGATCTTTTTTTTTTTCTCATCCCAGAGTTTCTTGAAAGCAAGACGACCGATTCAAAAGCATGATAACAGATAATATAAGATTATTTAACACGGTACTCTCTGACACGGTGAATTGACTCCTGCACAATAAACATTTAATAAAACACCATGTTTTCAGTAGATGTGGGTACCTAGTTCCGTCTCTCTTTTACAAATAGTCAATGTAAAAACGAATCAGATTCTCAGCAAAACCTATAAATAATAAAAGTTATGTTACTGAATTTCTAGCCCTCCCTAATGGATTAGAATTTGGTTATACATGATAAATTGTGGGGCAAACGTTTTTGTGACATTGTGTTGTTACAGGAATCTTTAAACATGTGGCTTATTGTATCCTTGCTGAATTACACTGTGTTCTTTATTCTTTACTACAGGCTGGGAAAGTTCATGATAGAGAACAGATGTATTTTAATATGTGACAGAGATTCGGGTTGTTGTCATTTGGGTACAAATTCAAGAAACATTAAGGCTCTAGCTGGATAAGAGAACAGATTGAGCTGAGTCACACTGTGTGTGGAAAACACTGTGGTTTTTGACCATTGTCTTTTATTTTTTCTTTGCAGTAGATTGATAGTCAGAAGAAATTCACAGAAGCCACACAAGTAAGAACGATTTTTGTTTTGCAATAACAGTACATGGATGTTTAATTTCATGTTCAAAGGCATCAAGAATATAACTACAAGGCAACAGTTAGAGCAAAAAGAAAGATCTAGTGTACAGTAGTTACGCCTTGTACATCATGTAAGGACAGGCACAAACATCACAGCATAAGGCTAGTGTTTACACAGTAATAATAACAAACTTATTTTTAAATACAAGGACACTGTACATAGTGATAAAGACAAAAATAGTACAATGTCAAGTAAAAGAAAACAGACGAACAAGAGCTAATCTAGTCTAGACAGTAGGAGTAGATTGTAGGGCTAGTAGACACAGGCCCTGGTAAAAAGGTGGGTTTTGAGTTTGGACAGTCAAAGAGTAAGTGACAGTGGGGAGATTGATAAAATGATGATTCCCAGGGCCCTCTGTGTGACCTGTGTGTTTTTTTTTGTTTGTTTAATGACACACATCTGGACAAATATGAAAAGTCACATTCTAAGAGTGCAGCCTGATCTGTTTCATGGAAGGGAACTTGAAAGGTGAAGGCAATGGCAGACTGTTTTGTAGTTTGCCAAGCACAGAAAGATCACCCACAACGAACTGCACTCAGGGAATGTCTGCAGTGTTACTGTATGTGACACTTGTCTGAGGTTTTTTCAAGTGTAGTATTAGTCAACTGCATTACAGCTGGGCTATGTTAGCATTAGTTTTAGCTGCTCCTGCCCAAAATGTCTCTTAATATATCTTTGGGAGGGTGGCACAGAGTATCAGAGATGAATAATATCAGGACTGATGGATTTTGTGGCCTCTGAAATTCAAGAGGCAACAAATACTTAGCCTGCAGATACATGATGGAACTGCTCCACCCTGCTCTGCAGGTTTGGCTTGTGAAAGGGGATGTGAGTTTCTCATGTTCGGTTACTCGCATACAAACATATGGACTCGACCCCATCCCTCTCACTGGGACCCAGAAGCTGACTCCAATGAGAGAAGTCCTCCCCGTGAGCAGTAATGTCCAATTATTTTCTGTCATGCAGGAGGACCGCGACAGTGAAATTACAAAATTTCACTGTCGCGTCTGACAGCAGTACACAGAGCAGCCCTGTGGTCATCACTTGATGACAGAATCTGGAGGAGGGGTTGTAAAGCCAGAAGACCTGCTCCCGGAAAAAGAAAGAAGCAGCCGTCGTGAGTGGTTTTGTATTCTTCCATTTTAAAACAATCTCGAAGAATTCATCAATTGAGCTTTGTGATCCATTTCAACAAAAGACTGTGGGGGAAAAAAAAGCCATCTGATGACTGTATATGAACCTTTATTTGGGTGCTGGTATGTACTGATCTACTGATTTGAGGCAAGAATCTGTCCAGTTTCTGAGATAAATATCTTGCTTCGGCACTATAGCCTGGTGGCTTGTTCCACACTCCCACAACCCGTAGTGTAAAAAATGTTTCTTTGGTATTCTGGTAGTTCTAAAATGCACTTCCTTGTGTCCCTTTGTTGGTCATTCTGATGATTCTGTGTGGTAGTGCTTTCAATATGCTGAACTGTACTAATTAGACTGCTTACGATGCATTATTGATGTGTTGCATTAACAACAAGCATAACTATGATACTACTTCTTTTTCACTTTTAATAATTTTCAGTTTTTCTTATGATTCATATACAATGTATGTACTTTTACAGAAATGAAATATATATTTTTAAATATATTTCTACAAATAGGAATATATTTTAAAATGTTATACTGTCATTTATGAAAGAAATGTATTCCAATATCTTGTACTATACCAAGATACACTGTAAAATATGTAAATTGCTTTTTGTATATTGCAATATATTTTCCAAAATATACTGTTTTGTAATTTTATAATATGCTGTAAGATATTTAAAGATATTGTGCTAGATCTTCAAAAATAAATATGTACATTTGTTGTTTTTGTATATTGCAGTATATTTGACCGAACATTAAATGCATTCACATGGTATCAAAGTGTAATTTAAAAGATATTGTGTCAATCTAATAATATATTCATACATATCCTAGACCAAACCCCACTAAGACACACCACAAATTACAAGCCTAGTATTGACGTTGGGTTCTCTGTGGTATTGAAGCAACAAGATTCTAACCTGCAGTATTATGTTATTATTACAGAACTTTATATCTCTTCTGAAGGAGGGCACCTTTTTTACAGTATAGTGTCCCCAACACTATACTGGGGTATTAGGACCCACACAGACCGCAGGGGCCCCCTGACCGCAGGTGTTAGTGGGGCCCCCTACTGGCCCCACTAACACCTCTTGCAGCAGCAGCCTTAGCTTTCCCAGGAGTCTCCCCTCCAGGTACCTTGCAGGCTCACCCCTGCTGAGCTCCAGTGGTTTGCTAGTCCAGGATCTTCCAAACCTTGCTGTTCCCTGTTGTCAAGGGAAAGTTTTCAATTAAGAAGCTAACAATTACTAATGTAGTTCCTAGCACCTAAAGCTAGAACACTCAATACACCTTTCAGTTTAAATGGCAAAATATAGAAACATCAGTAAGGTCATTTCCTTATAAATGTTATAAATGTATTAAGGAAAGAGGAACTGAAAATCTCGATGTGAGTTTAGAATTCTGCTGTTTTTGCTTAATGTAAGTATATGTTTTATGTAAAAGAAAATATTAATCACTTATACTCAATATGTTGCCAAAAAGTAATTAATTGTCCATGTAGTGATTAATGTAATCTCCAGCACTTTTTCAAAACTCCCACTTCCCAATGTGAAAGCTAAGAATTTGTCACAGTAATGTGGAGATATCAAAAGGCAGATTTCAATCACATTCTGAGTCATGTCTACCAGTGCTCTGCATGGCTGTCTAATTCCTGGAAGGAGGGGAGGTGTCACATGTGCCCTTTTAGCAGAGCTACTGCACAAACATCGCAGTCTGTTAGACCCAGCAGCAGTGTATCTTTAAAGCTCTCCTAGTACAGCTTTCAACAAAAGAAAGAAACATTCAAAATTAAACTGTTTCAAGGAGATGAAAGACTTTTAAAAGAGGCGTGTTTAGCTGTAGCTGTGAAAAAAAAACCCATGATTACACACACACACTTGTTTAGGGAGCTGAAATTTATAAGACAGGCACTGTAAATGTATAGAAAATTGAGCAAAGCAACTGCTTTTGCAATTTGATGATGGGACTGGGCCTCTCATTTTAATCTGTTAAGGGATTTAGAGAAGAACTGGGCTAGATTGGTTCACTGTCTTTGTATTATCCGTTTTCCAATTGTTTCTTTCAGAGCCTAACCTACAAAGCAGGATTCACGCGCGAGCGCGCGCGCACACACACACCCACCCACCAGGGCAGCGATTCTAACCACTGTCACCGTGCCACCTTGACTTTGTAATATTACACTACCAACCCTTTCTGACTAGTGCATCTTGCATTGTCACCACATTAAGCTCATGTGCTCTTAGATGACAGAGACGGACGAATTTCAAAACATCTGCTACAGTACATCTTGACTTGATGTGTACATGAAGTGTAGAAGATTGGCACAGAAAGCATTAAAAACAAGATAGGAGGGCAAATTGAAATTGAAAAGGCCTAATTAACAACTGGAGATAAATAAAGTCTTTCACCACGTGTTTTAAAATAACGTAGGGACTCGGAATACCTTAAGGAAAACGACAAAGACTGCCACCTCTTGGGGCACAGAAGAATGGTTAGAAAAGGTGTTTTAACCTTCAGCCTTAGCAACAGCTTGTATAAAAAGAAAACCACAGGAACTCTCAGCCAGCAAATCCTCACACACACTGTGAAAAGGAAGTGAGCATCAAGTCCCTGAAAGCCCACAGAGTCTATTAAGGAAATCCAATTGAGAATGATGTCACACCCTTATGCCTAAACTGTTATAGTGTACGTATTGAAACCTTCCATAAAAGTGCACCTGTAATTGTAATTCTTTATTTCACTAGATAAATCAGTTGAAAAACGGTGATTTACAATCATAACCAGGTCCAAAGGTTTGATCTGCAACCAAATTCACAGAAGAAGTGGTGCCTTTTGATGGTTGTTCCAAATGTCATACTTAACAGATAACGGAATTAATCATCCCTTACAGGATGTTCCCCTAAGGGATTACTTTTTTCAGCGATAGATTCCAAGCAGCACTCTAATTGCGCAAATCCGGCCCCGTCATCCACTTGCACTGATTGATTACGGACAATCACCGCCGTTCGAATAGTTTTTTATTGCATGCTATGTTTATTATTTGTGAGAATATTTCCTTTTTTTTTTAGATGTAGTATGGAAATGTATATTTTGTAAAAAAAAACGGACAAACGTGGCAGGTGCATGAAAATTAACTAAAATACGAAAGGGCCGGAGCGTCCTTAAGAGGAGGGATTACGATCGTGACACAATCGATTTAGTGCGAGCTTGTTACAGTGATGTAACCCTTTGCAGTAGGGAGTTCCTGGCCAGGTTCTTCCAGTTCTCCTTGAAGCATCTGGAGAGCTGAGAGAAACTGTTCAACTAGTGCAGTTCAGACATTAATGAGCAAATTCGGGTCATTACGTTCTCGGCTGGACTGAAAACCTGTAGACACACTGGCCCACCAGGAACAGATCTGGAGAGCCCTTTCTGAAGTCTGTAAACTGATTTCTAACTTTTGGCTGGGAGATTCCTGAGATCCTGTACATGAGTAAGAGAATGCCAAATCACACACACACGCAGGACAAAATCAACGGTTTCAGCTGCAGGCTGGACGAGAAAAGCGGACAGTTGTTGAATCTCTTATATAGCCTTCATGCAGAGTTTCCTACAACCTTCAGTCAGAAATAATTTACGACCAACAACCAACAACTTACAGTATGTGAGTGAGGAAAACCACAGAGATGAAACCGCACATATGTTTTTTTTAAAAAAACAACCTTTGTTTCGGCAGAAAAAAAAAACTCTCAGTGGAGGTTGTTTGCACAGCATTTGCTGTGAATTTATTTGTTCTTACCGATATCATGCCAACGTGGAAAAACAGTCAATTATGTAATAAAAGGGCGCCTCTTTAAAGCAAGACCCGCTGAAAGATTATAACGCGTTAACACGTCATTTAATCAAAGTATACAGTACATCAATGCATCATACAAATAACTCCAATTCAAAAACACTACTTCCTCTCAGGGGTGAGAACACCACAGACTTTTCGTACGTGTGCTTGAGAAATCTAGAGAGAGAGAGAGAAGTTGATTGCGAAACAAAACCTCTTCCGTCTCATTGGGAGGATAGAAGAACCCAAGCCCACAGCGGAATTAACCATTTGGGCGCAGTGGACGTGTCGCGCACACCCGAAAACAGAAATATCTGCTTCTGTAAACCCACAGCAGCAAGAACTTTCTAACTTTTGATCGGATAACCCTTCCTCGTCTCTCATACAGATCGAGACCAATAATTGATCTCCGTAAATTCGCAGACAAATCAGAAAAAAAACAAATTCGGCTGCTACCTTGAAAAGTGTCGATCGAGTTTGAAATGGCCGTAACGAGCAACGGTAAGTATTTTTTAAACTATTTATTATACATAATTTATGAACGTCCAGATATGCATGTTAGGTGTAATAACTTCGTTTCAGCGATGTACTGCTAAGCAATTAATATTTATTAGAAGTGTTTCTCAGAAACATCAATACGTTAACGAAAACGTTAAGAATTCACGTTGGCAAATCAACCATCACATAAAGTATTATTATTACCTTTACTATGTTATATTAGCGGTGGATTATAAGCCTAGCTAAGCACAGTATATTACGCCTGATCGTTTATGTGAAAGAAAAGGCTGACTAGTGATATGTGCACATACAGATTTATGACCGCTTGGTGAATAAATAAAAGCTAGGCTCACAGGCTCGTGTTTTCCGTGTAAACACAACCCTAACACGTGTGTAATGGCATTTGTACAAGCCTGAAGGATATGTTTATGTACAATGCGGAAAACGATAAACCATGATAAATCGTGTGCAAACAATGATTGGAATTGCTTCCGAAGATAAAAAATGCTCTCACTTGTCGGAACCATAAATAAGTCCCCCCCACATCGTTTCCTCTCAAAGACCTTTATTAGGATAGTTACTTTGCAGATATGCCGTAGATGTTAGAGGAAGTTGTTTTTCAGAGAGTGATACAGCCTCGGGCTCTTCGTTACCTTTTCAAACCTGCTAACAGTGAGAAACGTTAACTAAATTCAAAACGAAATCCAAATAAATATCAAATATCATATAATCGAGGACGTTTAGTGAGTTCTTGAATAAAACTACCAGAAAGTACCCGTTTCTTTTCACAGTACCAAAAATTGACCATTTTTGGTACTGTGAAAAGAAACGGGTACTTTCTGGTAGTACGAAGTTTAGTAGGCTATTTGTTAATGCTTACAAATATTAAAATAAGTCTGACTTTAATTAAATTACAAAAGGGCACTTCTGACAGAAGGCCTGTAAAATTAATCTGCGCAATTATCGAATTGGCTACAAAAATTGCTCCTTGCAAAACACTATGCGGGAATTATTGGAAATGTTGATGGGCTTTTTATCGTCTGTGATTCCCAAAAAAATATTAGTCTTTACTGTAGATCCCGCGAACACGTTATGAATTTAAACTGGCAAAGTTTGTGGTTAGTATTAGGCAGATACTGCAACTGCGCATACTGCATATCAGTGAACGTGAAGATGACATAGGCTCAGACATAGAGGCTCAAAAACGATATCTTCACCGACTGTACAATTTGAAATTATTTTTATTTAAAAAAAGAACAAAAGATATTGCATGCAAGAAGTCAAACGTGACAAGTCAAATGTGATCCGCGTTTGGTGAAGATTAATTGCGAATGGTTGACAATGTAGTTTATGTGAGAACAGGTTAACACTGTTAAACCTTACATTGGATAATAGACAGTTAGGTATAAAATAGGTAAAACATTTTTAATTAATTTGAAATTGTTTACTTTTTTAGCTTTGATAAACTTTTATAGCCAGTCAAATTACTTTGTGTTGCAACGCGTGATATGTATGTGCTAGGAAACGATGGTATTTAATATACAGTATACCGAAAGTGCATACTTTTTTAGATTATTTATGGTTTATTTGTATGCATTACGTAATTAGTGTATGGTTTAATTATCGAAAGTACTGGTTTTATCATCTTCAAAATCTTCAAAACTTTAAAATAAATGGAGAAATCAAACAACATTCAATTTTAACAGAACGCATACGGTAAACCGTTCTAAATTAAAGCCGTTCCCTTACCTTCATTCATCTTGCAACTATTATAAAAAAACAAAACTACAATGTTTTCGGACTTTGATTTTTTTTCCGAATCGGCACTCGTAGTGTTGTGTGGTGTTTCTGCTGGTAAATCGCCCAACATGGAAAAAGCCATATTTAACAGGAGGCCATTTTATCTTGAAATCAGATCAATTAGAACACAAATCTTAATAAAATCGCCTCAAAACCAATATTTAAAGGAACGAAAAACGGATAGCATAGATTACACATTGTACTGTTATATGTTTAAATTTAAATTCAACAGGTACTGTAGCGTTTCCAGCACCTCTACTACAGTACGTTTTTTATGTTACTTATAATATAACATTTGTATTTTTATTGAACGTTTAATTTGTTTAAAGCTCGCCCTCCAATGCTAAAGCTCAATTAGAATAATAGTAGTAGTTAAACTCCCCTGTCCTGTAGACTCAAGAGTACCTAGCCTACACCCGTGAAATATTCCGATACATTTTCACTCGTCCATTGTTGCCAACAGTATATTCATTCTTAGAAAAAGGTGAAAACCGTAATCATGGGTGATGTATCAGCTGAGGTGTGATTAATCACAGCCTTGATTTTTCAATCTGTTTTGAGAGCATTAGGCACAGATTATTCATTATTCAGTCTGTTTTTTTACCGACCGAGCTGTATGATGTTTTGTGCCCAGACGTGCTTTTTTTTTTTAATCGAGTACCAGAGGCTACCGTGTAAACTTCAATCTTAACGTAGGAAAACATCGAGCTTTTTCCCCAGATCAGAACAGGCCGGAATATTCAGAACACTAACCGTACTGCGAAAAAGGCATAGGAAATGTAGGCCTTACATATTGTAAAGAGAGAGCTTTTAATTTGCTGCATTCTTAAGTTTTGCGGTACAAAATCCGTAACATTTATGACTTATCCGTGCATGTTTCAATATACTGCGCTGGTGGAGAGGGAAGTCTCATAATACAGTATAATCATAAGTTAAAAAAATAGTACCTCACACTTGAGCATCTAGTATGTGTGCACATGCTTTTAAAACGTAAAATTTCACTTTTTATTGTTCCGCACTTGGCTTTTAGATATCCACCCCTCGCGCTTCCTTTCCGTCACTTTAAAGAGGTGTCACTGGGAGTTGTTGCCATCGTTGTCCTTATTTGAGTGCGATAAGTTTAAGTGCTTATTTCTGTCTGTTGGCAAAGACTCAACTTCCTCTTTCGAAATGCGTATGGAAAATGTTATGGTGGAAGCTTTTAAACAATGTCTTGAATGTGTCCTTTATAGAGCATCTTGTTAAATGTTCTGCCGATAACCTCCGAAACACAGGCTGGTATTGCATTTCATTGTCTGCATATGATCTCATGCCTTTCGCGTAACTGATATCATTTCAATGAATTGTCAAACATTTCTCTTTTTCAGATACCCAGGAACACTCCGATTCAAAAAAAACAAATAAATCGAGCCACAAAAGGTGAGCTTTTAATTCAGTGCCAACACGGATAGCAGAGACCATTCTGTAGTGCAACAGGAATGGATTAATATTCTTATTTTTCCATGCCCTAATTTATTTATAATGCCATAACTTGGTAAGTGTAACAACAAATGTTGCGTGAATATTTGTTGTGTAAATACACGTTGCATCAGAAAGGCTAGTTTTACTTAATCGGTCCTGTCTGCCCCTTGCATCGTTTTCTGCATTCTAAACCCTTGTTGTTAATTGTGCTAATTTTGTATCCTCTTCTCCTTGCTAATATTTTTCTCCTACTGTAAAGCACTTTTAGAGGTTATTTTTAAAGGCGATATGAAAAATACTACTACTAATCATAATAACTATCACACTTAAGCCAGCAGCCATATCGCCCTGCAACTCACAGCTGGCAGCCCACTGGAGCTCAGCAGGTGTGAGCCTGGCCAGTACCTGGATGGGAGACTCCTGGGGAAAACTAAGGCTGCTGCTGGAAGAGGTGTTAGTGGGGCCAGCAGGGAGCGCCCACCCCCTGTGGTCTATCTGGGTCCTGATGCCCCAGTATAGCGACAGGGACTCTAGACTGTAAAAAGGCGCCGTCCTTCAGATGAGATGGAAAACCGAGGTCCTGGCTCTCTGTGGCCATTAAAAAGCCCAGGGCGTTTCTCGAAAAGAGTAGGGGTGGAACATACCTTTTCTTACTTCACTCAACCACGAATAGAGTTTCTCTGATGATAAGAAGGCGTCATGGATGTTCGAATCTCGTAAACAGCTAATCTGAGAAATTAGGGCTGAGAGAAAAAGGAAAAAAAAAACAGGTTTGTGACTGGCAATATTTGAGCAAACACCCCCACCACACACACACACACCCTACACATTTCAAGCCGCCAGGTTTCTCTCTTGGAAAACCCCTAACAGTGTCCTGGAGGCGTCATTGCTGAATGGAGCCTCTGAGTACCCTGTGTACTCTCAAACACATTTGGAGATGTAGGTTCACATGAGTCATTTCCGCAAGCCGATGTGTGTCCACCCCGAGTGCGAGATTGTAAGGCAATGCTAAACACTGGTTTTTCGAATCTGCACCTGCTCACACCATAGAATGGGGGGTGGATGGGACCTACTGCACGTAGGACTGGCTGGGCAACAGTCCTAGAATTTCTTAGGAATTCCTATTGCTGGATCTGGCTAGCACAACCAGAGACCTAGACAGGCCTTCCTCTGACTAGGAAGAGTCATTACCTCCACAGCAGAATTCTTTTGAAAACAAGGGATATATGAATTACCCATATGGATTATGCAGATTACGCAGAAACGTAATACTCTGTTCTTCTGTAGTACATATGTTAGTGACATAATCCACTATATTTATACATTGCAGGGTATGTAAATATTATCTAGTCCCTTCTGTTTAATTAACAAAGCAGGCACTGATAGCTGTTCACCCATATGATTTATCAGTGTTGGATAGCTGAACCTGCTTATTTTGATATAATATGAAGTACATATGCCTAACGTTTCCTGGCATGACTAAATTACAGCTGATTCTCACTCTGAAGAACATGACACAGATATCCATGTAATGGTAGCACCATAGCCTAGTATTTTTTTTTTTACAGAAAACCGCAACCGATTAGTCTGATACGCACACGCAGAACAAGAGTTTTTTGTTGTTCTTTCCAAAATGGAAAAATATTTTGTCAAATTCGAACAATCACAAAAGTAATTTCAAATACTGCGCACGCTGTCATGATAGCAATTGCATTAACTACATCTTCCAAGCTCTGTCTCCGTTAACACGTCTGCTCGTTCGGATACAACTAGTGTTGCTTTTTCGAAACTTTTAAAACTGTTTTTAAAACTATACATTTGAACGATGGATTTCAAAACGTCACGCTCCACCTTTTGATCTCCAAATAAAATTACGGGTCGACAATTTTTTCATGAGGAGGATTTTTAAAACGTGAACTTTCAAAACCCACATATTGCCGGTTTGCATCCTTTCGTTTTAGTAATGACGTTGGCATGACCCCGAATAGCCAAGACAAAACTGCATCTTATTAAAATGTTTTTCTGCTCGTTTATTTTTAATGGGTAGTAAAAGACGCGCAAACGCAGGTGGAGGAACACACGGGATGGGTTTAAAAAAAAAGGAAAGTTGTCGGAAACGTTACTGAGATCAGTAGGTTTTTCAGGGCCAAGATGGAAGAGCACAGCCAGAGAGAGAGAAATCAGTGGAGGGATATCGCAAAGGCTTTCAGCATTCAGAGGCAGACTGAGCATTTGCGAATTAATTAAAGAAAGAACGCGGGAACCTCAGGATTACTGTGGGGGAAAAAAAACAGTGTTACAGGTTCAAACCCGCGTCAGGACACTAGCTGACCGCGAGCGAGATCCGCCCTGGCAGAGGAGCAAGGTAGCGCTGCAGAAAGTTAGGGCGAGGCATCCTTAGGGAAACTGCACCCCTGCGGCCACCTCTCGACTGACAGGGAAGGGACGCGCCTCTCGTCCAAATAATAATAATAATAATAATAATAATAATAATAATAATAATAATAGCTTACACTTATATAGCACTTTTCTGGACACTCCACTCAAAGCGCTTTACAGGTAATGGGGACTCCCCTCCACCACCACCAATGTGCAGCATTGCAACAGGCTAACTTTCATCTTTGCACAAGAGTTCCTTCTGATCACAGGATATGAGGCACCTCTCTCAGAAAGCACCACAGAAAGCTCAAATGGAGAAGTGATATCAAATATACTGGAGGAGGAGTTTCTCTGCACATACAGCATACAGTATGTACTGTAGAACAGAGGTTAGAGAGGATTTTAATGTTTGGTAACTATAGCATAGAAAACTAACTGCATGCGTGACAAATGTTCAGATACTGTACATCACCCATACATAAAATGTGTTTTAGGTTTGTTGTCAAAAGCCACAATACTCCATTTCTATTGCTCTCTTAGAAATGAAGAGTTGGGCTTCTGAAACAGCTAAAAAATGACCTTTGTTTTACAGGGGAAGTGATGATGAAGAAACGTGTGGTGCCACTTCTTCCTGTGAGCCCTTTCGAGAAGATGGAGGAGTGATGGAAATTGGAGTCAGGGCTGAGATACCAGCAGGGGCCAGGGGCACAGGAGCTGGAAACTTGGAGGTGTTGAAGATGCCAACTCAAGATCTGGGCATGGAACATGACAGCATTTTAAAGAGGTCCTCTGCCATCCCCGATTTCTTCAGTGACGATGGCGATTTGAACACCACCGGAATGACAGAGCAAGACACCGTTCCTGAAAGGATGCAAGTATTTCAGGACTCAGGTCTGGAGGACACTGCAGTGAAGGACTCCAAGAGTCCCAACAGTTCATTTGGGACTTTGGGATCTGTTCGCACTTTGCCGTTTCCTGCTGGATCGCAGGATACTATGGAAAACCAAGGGCCGGAGCAGGAGCTCCTAGCTTCAGACACAGATAAGCAGGAAAGCGCAGAGGAAGAGCACGATCAGAGATCTCCAGATCCCGATAAGCCGAAGCCGCTCCCAAATCCTGATAGTTTCCTCGAGGCGAGGGTGGAAGCTCCAAAGGAAGCCAAGCCTGAACGTCCTGGAAAGAAATCCGGAGGGAAAGAAAAATCGGAGAAGGCGAGAAGGAAGAAAGGGAAGAGGGGTCAATCAGAAAACTCTTCGCAACTCTGGGAAAAAATGGCTCAATACTTGGTCTCTGTCCTGCTGCCCATCTCTCTGAAGATCGCGAAGACCTGCTGGAAAGGAAGCACCTCAAAATCGAGGGGCAAGGTCCTGAAACGACCAGGGAGGCCACAGACAGGAAAAGCCAGTACGTACAACTTGATGTTAAAAATCCTGTTGTCTTTCGCCAACGGCATAAATTTCTGAATGTGGTTTCCTTTCCCAAAAGGCGGTTCATGTGAGCAACCACAGCACCACCATCACCACAGCGAGGGTTCTGGCAGAATGCAAATGCAACTGACAAAGCACTGTGGAATCTGAGTTCCACACAAGCAAGTTTGGTGTAAATGCAGTCAGAATTTCCCTCACACAGTGTTGTCAACGCTGAAGTGAAAGTTCAGCAGGGACAAAAGCAGCTAAGAATGAGATACTGTGGAAATGCTGGGAATACTTGGTGAGAATAGGTTTGGCTTCACCTGCTTGGTTAATGGGCAGCCTCCTGGCTACAGAACAAGGAGACTTGAACCCCATTCCGAAAGAACCAAGGCGTAGCTGCAAGGCGGAGATGGAGTGGAGGAGAAAAGCCTGAGACTAATGCGAAGGGAGGAGTTTGAGTTCAGGATATTGAGCTACTTTTGTGATGATGGCAAATAGGTGCAGCTAGGAGAGATTACTTAATCCCAGACTCCAGTCAATAACTTCCACTGTTAACAGCAAGTCTAACCTGCTCAAGATCCTTTCATTCAACCGCCACCGAGTTCTTACGTTTTGTGGGTTTTGGAGACTGAGAGACTGCATTAAGAGGATTGGTCCGTCTTGATGTGATGATTAGATTAGCATTAGAAATTAGTCTGACCCGGCAATGTAATCTGATCCTCACCCAGCACTGTGTGCTGAAACCAACATACTTGCAGGCAGGCATCCTGGGGAATTACAGTATGTCAGCAATAGGTTCATATGAGAATACAGCTAAGGAGATAGTGTGATATTAATTGTGATCTTGGAGGGAAGCCACTAGACACTTTCTGAGACATATACACAAACACTGTTAACTGGTCGCTGGGCTTTGTGCATCTTGCTGAGCTTGATGCAAACAGCCACACAGAACATTGATATTTACTCCACAGGTAATTGTTTTATTTTAGGGCGACTCATTTAGTTACAGAGTAATCTATTACAATTCCACTATAATTTCAAGTTGGTATGAAATATAGATCTTATTAATGATCAAATTAGGATACCTGAATATATATATATAAAATATATGTGAATTAACTGCGATAACAGTTTTGCAGATTGGTGACTCTCCATTTCTGCAAAACGTTCTGGAATGAGAAATTATGTGGTCTTTAAAACTATTAATCAGACACTTTTTCTGTGTTTCAGGTTGTCTTATCACATGCATATTTCTCTTATCATTGCTGAGAACCGCTTGCTGTGGTGAGTCTGTCTGGAGTTTTTTTTATTCATTCATAGTTGGTTATATGTACCAACCAAGTAAGTTGCCACTCAGCCATTTATGGTGCATCATGGTACTTTACTAATAATGTAGATTATTCTGAACCTGAAGTTTTTAAAAACTTTGGAAATAGTTAACTGCCAGACATAGTGATTGTTACGCAATAGCAGAGAGGACTCTATCCAGAAAACCAGGGCGATCTCCAGAGGCGTCGTCGATATAACATACGAGGTCTGAAAGCCGCAGGTAAAAGTACAAAACCAGAAGCATAGCCATCGGCCGTGAGGAAGCCGAGAGTCTAAACCAGACCATAACCCAAGTACCCCAGTACAGGGGCGGAGCGGTGGCTCTGTGGCTCAGGATCTGCGCCTGTGACTGGAAGGTTGCCGGTTCAAATCCCGCGGCCGGCAGAGGAATCCTACTCCATTGGGCCCCTGAGCATGGCCCTTAACCCTAACTGCTCCAGGGGCGCCGTACAATGGCAGACCCTGCGCTCTGACCCCAAGCTTCTCTCCCCATCTGTGTCTCCATGGAGAAAAGCTGAGGTATGCGAAAAGACAAATTCCTAATGCAAGAAATTGTATAGGGCTAATAAAGAAACATTATCATTATCACATTATTATATTATTAGTACCAAAACCAGGAGACCTAGTCCGAGAACAAACCGGGGTCAGGCAGCCAAAAACCAAGTAGTAAGTCATAGTGAAAATGGAAGTAGCTCCAGCCAGGACAAACCCCAATACTGAGCACAGGGGAGAGTGTGAAGCAGCATTAAATAGGCCGGGGTAAATGGGCTAAGTGGGAACCATGCATTTGCCTGCTCAGCCTGGGACATTGAAAATATCAGGAATATAGCATTGGGCTGGAAACACAGCAAGAACAGATCATTTGTTGGGACACAAGAGACCGATGAAGAAGGAATCCAGATGAGATCAGTAGGTTTTTCAGGGCCAAGATGGAAGAGCACAGCCAGAGAGAGAAATCAGTGGAGGGATATTGCAAAGGCTTTCAGCATTCAGAGGCAGACTGAGCATTTGCGAATTTGGAATCCAGTATATATTAATGGCTGGTTGAAATGTATTCAGAGGTTTCTTTATGTAACAGAATTAACAGTGATTTCCTGATGAAAATAGGACGGAGAAATTGCATAACTCTAAGGTGAATATCAATGTCTGTCTTTCCTCTCAGGTGTACTGGCTTGCCCTGGAGACGTTGTGAAACTACATTTCAACCTCACTGGTAATTTAAAAGGACATGTTTCGCTTATTAACAGCACTTCCAACATCTACTTTTACTACACTCAACATCAGCCCAATACGTGTCGCCCAGAGGTGTTAGAAAAATTTGAACCATGCTTGTCCAAGGATGGCGAAACTCTCTACCTGACCAGGATCGCATCAAAGTCCACTGCAATCAAATACACCCTGGAGTATGAGACTGATGAAGGAGCTTCTGTAACCATGTCTCTCTCTCTGTCCTTGAAAAGTAAGTTCAATGTAGTGAAATCTGTGCAAAAAGGTGAAAGTTGTAGCTAGTTAAATACAAAAGTATGAGAACTGTACTTTGTTAAAGACGAATATTTTGCATAATTAACTTGGCAAATATACTCAACTAACAAATTAGCTTTCAGCAATTGTACTCTCAAGTGCATACTACATATGGTCATCATCATCATACACCACACTATTGTTTAATTTATTTGAATGTAATAAACTTTTAATTACGTCTTAACTCAAGGTCCAGTTCAATAAGCACAAACTTGTGAGAACCTTATGATATAGGCAACTAAATTATTTTCTTTGAATTAATTGTATATTGTTAGCATGCTCAAAGGGGTTGGACAGCCAGTTGGCCTTGGACCCCTAGAGGTTTTTTGGTTCCTCTCCTCCATGGTCTTCTGGTCTTTTCTGTTCTGTGCTCACAACATGCGTGGTCACCTGCATTGCTAAGCGCCTTGGGGGGACCTTGCTGTGAAAGGCGCTATATAAAAATACATTGAATTGAATTAAGATTCTATTGCACACAGGCAATATAATCTAGCCCTAGTCTGTGGGCAGACAAGCAAAATTCTCATAGCCAGGCACCACAAGTCAGAATCGGATCCAGCTGTGCTAACTGCCACTCTGCCACACTGCGCACAGATGATTGAACATTTGTCCAGAGCTTTTTGTTTTAAAAATATTTTTAGAATCATGTTGTCTGACTTCATTAGGAGGAGCTGGGGTTGCCAACAGCATCTGTTGTGGTGCATAAGGATGTTGCTGTTATTATTTAGAAAGGCAGAAACCCGAGAAGTTTAAAATGAGTTATACTGTAGTGGCTGGTGTTCAGAATTTTTTGTTTGTTTCATTTTAGATTGTTCCGATGACAAGCATCCCACACCCAGTAAGTGTTTTTTTTTTTCAGCTTCCTCACCTGTTCCATTTATAGACAGGAGATATTCTCTTGTGGTTTAAAGCAGCAGAGATGAGAGAAAAATAAATATTTTATTCCACTCAGTCCAGGGAGAACCGAGAATTACTGGAATAGTGTGCAGCAATTCCAGCTTAGCCTGATAATTCTTCCTGAATTGGGGAAAAAAAAACCTGGTTTGTAGATCTTGTACTGCCAAGTCTAGATCTTCCTGTATTTTACCCATATTGGAAAATAGTGTCTCACCTCATATGTGGCTCCATAGCTGTACTGTCTACAGAGCTGAAAGTGCAGATTACAATTCAATTTGGGACAGTTTAAAGAAATAAAGATAATTAAACAGTCTACACAGACCTCAGCAGTTATGTTGGGGGGGGGGTTGTTTGAGTGGCCTGCAAACTCTGATTGCCAATGAACAGCAGATCAAGTGAGATCCCCTTACTGGTTTTCTTCTTTTCCACACAGCGCCACCTACCTCTACTCCATCTCCCCTTAAGACTGACTGTAAGTTCTACAATTAACTGCTTTAACAAAAGATTGTAACCAATGTGGTTTCCTTTGCACTATTACTGACTTTGTCGCATGCAAACTTTTATTCTCTCAATGACTCAAAAGTGTGATGTGTGTTATATCGATTTGGCTGTGAGCAGCCCATTCATAAGAACTGCTTCATGTGTCATCTCTTTCATAACTCTCACTTGGGGACTTTTGAGGGATTTATTCTGTAAATCTAAGGTACATTTGTGCTTTTACTGCTTAAGAACATAAGAAACGAAAGGAGTTAATTATTCCCAGGTTCATATGCAGGCATTTCTTGGAAGAAAGTATGGTATTGGCTTTAACAACGTTCTCATTGATAGTAGATATATTAATAAGAAATCTTGTTGCTTTTTGTTCTCATCTAGGGGCAGCTACACCTGTCTTCATTACAGTGGCTTTCGTCTTTCTTGGATCCTTGATTGTGGGGCTGATTTTAAGACACCGCTGTAAGAAGTAAGTGTGACTGAATCGGTTTTCTGATTGTGTTGATATTGTATGGGATTCTGCTATTTCAGAAGCCAGACCAGGTGTAGTGCAAGTGCTCACATTACTCCTGTCCTGGAGTCCTTACACTGGCTTCCTCTCAGGTTTCGTGTTGACTTCGACGGCTCGACATGGCTTGGCAACATGAGCTATTTGACTTACTATCATTCCACTGTCCACCTCGAAACCTTCATTCGTCTGATTCTGGTCTTGTGTCTGTCCCCCAAGCTATCTTACACTCTATTATTCATAATAATTTATTAAGAATTTACATTATGTAGTATACCGAGGCATATGAGAAGACTGGACTTACACATCAAGCATCCATCCTGGTCTGTCGATTCAGATTTGTGATCAGGGTATGGGGAATGTGGAAAATGTCCCATCAAGTCTGAAACAAATCAAGAAATCCAGCATCACCTGAAGTGTGAGGAACTTCAATGTGCAATTAAGGCTAGAATAAATCGTTCGATACTGCCCTCTAGTGTCTAGCCTGGAGAAATAACAGGTGATTTCAGAGGACGGTTGAAGGAAACAAGTTTTTTTTTTTTATTTTGACTCAGAACAGGTAAGGTATATGGATTTTGTCAGTCAGCTGTAGTCTATTTCATGTGAGAGAGCTGAAAGTCCACATTGTGGTTTGAAAGACAGAAATTAAATTTCCTGTTGACAGAAAGCAATAAAGAACTTCCCTGGTGACAGAAAAGATATCGTAATTCCAGAATGGAAGTTGAAAACTGATTAGGTAGACAATTATGGCTAACGTGCAGGAGGATACAGTACAATCGTGCTAAGCCAGTGTGCATGGTGATGAACAGAATTGTGCAGTGTGTTTTGGGGTTCTTAACCTCATTCTCTTTTGATCTTTCTAGGAAGAAAATGTCAGGTGGATGCAACACAGTGTTGTGTTATTCACACAATAGTGCCTCACAAGAGGAAACCACACAGGATGGGTAATTAATCTTCTGTCTTCACCTATTCACATTAATTTAAACAAAACATGTTTCCAGAAGCCTAGTATGCAGAAAAGTGAAATTTAAGAGAAAATTACATTTTGACTTGAAGGAAAACATAACACTACACTTGACAGATACACACAGCTCTTTTATAGTTGAAAGGATAAGAAGAACTGTAAGGATTTGTTAATCTCCTATTAGCTCGCTATACAATAAGTGCTCTCAGACATTCAGTCATAAAGCTTGAGCACGTGAATTTTCTCAGTGCTTGTGTGCATTTGCCTGAACTTCCATGAGATCAGGTTCATGCAGATTTTTTTTGTCACTCTATGTGCTAAGCCTGAAAAATATTTGATTGGGTTTTCTTGCATTCTGTTGTTATAATTAGTTTCAAAATAATGCAGTGTATAGATCCATGACTAAGGCTAGGAAAAATGAAAAAATGCACTTTAGCATGGAAATGTAGATTAAAACTTGCATAGCATTACAAAAAAACAGCTTGACTATGAAACACATACCCAACCTTATGGCTCATCTGATTTATCCCGTACTACCTTACATCATGAATACTCATGCCATTCATCCTTCCTGCAGGCAAGCGATGAATCGGATGTTAAACTGAAATCCGACTGATTCTTCAGCAGTGGATGCTGTAACTCGGACAACAGGAAGCCAGTCTTTGGAATGAGCTGTAGCTCCAGGTTTGCCTGGCTAGGCCTGGCCTCCACCATGCTGTTCCTGAATTGGTTAAATGATGAATTATACTGAATTCTAATATTAGTAAGGACTGTAAAATAAATACCAGTCTGCTTTTCACACCTCCTTTTGAGCCTTGGTTCCTCGCAAGGTTTCTTCTTCCTGTAATGTGAGGGAGTTTTTCCTGGCCACTGTCGCCTTCGGCTTGCTCACTGGGAGCTCAGGCCCAGGAGTCTGTGAAGCGCTTTTTACAATGTCACAAGGCAGTGTGGTGGCATGGCTGCCTCACTGTGTGAGTGCACTGTTTGTAATTCCAGGGCTTTACAAACAGTGGAGCATGTACTGTAGGTTTTCTCCTGGTGCTCTGGTCCAGAGACATACTGGGAAGTGAATTGGCTTCTGCCCTCCCATGAACTGGTCCCCCATCCAGGGTATACACTTCCTTATGCCCGGACACTGGAATATCTCCCAACTCTTCTTGAGAAATGCCTGGCCATCATTAATGATCGCTGAGAGTCAGGACCTCGGTTTAACATCTCATCCCAAAGATGGTGCACACTACAGTAGAGTGTCCCTGCCATTATACTGGGGCATTAGGCACTGGTCCCACTAACACCACTTCCAACAGCAACCATAGCTTCCCAGGAGGTCACCCACTGACCAGCCTCAACCCTGCTGAGCTTCAGTGGGTGGCCAGCTGAGTGCTGCAGGGTGATACAGCTGCTGGCTGTAACCCCGTCTGCTTGTGCTTTGTTATCTATAAGCAAATCATATAAATAATTACGAGCTTCTGCTTATTAAATGTATATCTGCTTCATAGTGGTGTATCGTTTTCCTTAGATCCGTTACTTCGCTTTTCCAAGGGAATTTAGTCGATTGTGTACACTCAACGCGATAGTTTGTTTTACATATCTTATGCGTTTTATTCTGCTGTTATTGTTCTCTTTCCTAGTTGTTGATACTACTGAAACTGAAAATAAAAAACTTTGTTTTTCAACATTTCTCATGGTCGCTCTTTTGTACTTGACTTTCCCAGACAGTTGCAGGAAAAAAAAAAACGTATTCGGCGTTGTCACAACAGATCCAGTCTCAACTAGACGGTGGTTTAGGAAATTACCTGAACATGTTGCAATATCTTCAGTTCAGCGGCCTGAACTAAAATTCCATGATAAACTTTTTCTAGTATCAGCTTCCGGTGAGTGTCTTTTTTAAATCGAGTTCCAGACAGAGGCTGTTTTTATAAGCATAAAATGCTTGTATTCCGATTCCAAAACGTCTTAATGTTTGCCTTTCGCACCATTGCCAGTCTGTAACTCTTTTACTCCTTTTTCTATAAACTGTTCCGCTACAGCGCCGACGTACGCGTTGTTGTTCATTGTGCAAGTACACAATTTGGATTGCCTCTCATACGGGTAAGAGTGCGCATTTTCAACAGAGGTAGATACGTGGAGTTCTTTAGTTACAAGCTGCACCAGCTGAAGCACGAAAGGTGATTTCTATCGCCTATTACTGTGGGTTTTAGTTTTCATTAAATCAAAGATCACACTTACAACCTACTGCCGTTTACAGTATTAGAGGGTGGAGCTGGCTTCAAAACTATCCGGGAAAAAAAAAAATCTTCTTTCATTTCATTGTTTATGTCTGCGTTAGCCCAAAGCGAAAGGGTAGACAAGCTGGATTTTTAAATTCTTCTTCCAAAACTGTAGGATGCAACAACACTCCTAGCTCTCTTAAGTCAAACTTCAAAAACTTATACGCTTTAGCACTTACGGTCTGATTCCTGTTTTTTCCTATTAATTATATGTACACACACTTAGCTTTTGTTGTACTTGTGCTATCTCAATGAAATTCCTTAAGCTATTTCTAACATACAATTCAGAATGTCATTATAAATGTTTTGTGTGTCTTATCTGTTAGTATAACCTTCAGGGGAAATTAAGAAGAGCTGGACTTTCAGCGCAAACTCCAGAGATTTATTATAAATAGAGGCCTGTATTTTCTGAAGGCCTAGAAAAAAAATACATTACCAACCATTCCTGGAAAAGGAATAAAATTAATTATATCCAATATGTATTAATTCGCATTTGGTGTATTCGGTAGGTGCTGTGCATGTATTAATTAGCTTGTAAAGAATTATTTAAGGACTAATTAATTACCCCGTAAATAATTCATTATGAACTTTTTTTTAGCCTTCAGGAAAAAGCGACAGCTTCTTTATTAATATAGACATTCAAATGACATATTTGCTACCTCCTAACTTAAGTCTACAAAATTTATAGTTTTCAAACACTCTTATAACCCAGTAAACAGACCAAATTGATGGACTTGATCCCTTCTGTCTCAGAAGTTCGTTTGAAGTCTAAGCGGACTTTGTTTTGCCGTCCTCAAGCTCAGATTGATCCCATTAAACGTTTCGAAAGAAGATCCGAACAGAACTTGGGGATAATCAGACAATCGAGAGCAAGAGCAAGAGCAAGAGCAACAGCAACAGCAACAACAACAACAAATTATTCCTAAAAGCGAAAGCTCGCAGTCCTGCGTTATCCCGGTGGGGCTACACACTGGTGGTGGTGGAGGGGAATCCCCATTACCTGCAAAGCACTTTGAGTGGAGTGTCCAGAAAAGCGCTACATAAGTGTAAGGAATTATTATTACATTTTTTTTTATTTCTTCGCTTACCGCACGAAACGAATAGTCGTTCGGTTTCCTAAGTCTTAGTGCATCAATCGCCGCATGTTGTTATTCATTTAATAAATTAGAAACGCGTGCAGGGAGTTTATATTAACTTGTGTAATGGCTTTGCTAACAAACGAGATTGATAACCGACTTTTACCACTTCGCGAAGTTCTGTCAGCTGTGCTATAATTAAACTCACCTTTGCATTCGCTATACGCGCCAATCTGAGCATTTTACGTCTATAGTGCCTAGTGGTCACAATGCTGATGGCTAGATTTCTTAGTCAAAAATAAAGAAAAATGTGTAGAACAGAAAGCACAATTATATGTCCTTATTGTCACTATAGGCCCAAACAACACACTACTAGAAAATATGTTATGTTATTGTGTTTACTACAATATTCTTTGAACACCTGATTGTGTTGTACTTACCTAAGTTGTTTGCTTTTGAAAATTAAAAGGTGTTCTTTATCACAGTAAAGTGTTTCAAATCTTGTGTCATTATGTATTTGTGTCATAAGTATTTAATAAACGCAAATCTAAGTTATGACTAATTTAGCATTGGATTCGCTGTGTTTTAAAATACATGTTGTTTTGAATATTTTTTATTATACAAATAGTAATTTAGGGAGAAGTTAATTCCTTGCTGGAAAGTGAAAAAAAAAACAGTTTCAGCTGTGGAACCATTCTTTTAGGTTATCTATTTACTACTCTGTAATTTAATAATGTGTCCTATCGTCCTATCAGTTAATCATTAATGTCCTATTAGTTAATCATGTAGCAAAGGATTCTTCGTTTTATTTTACAGTCAACATCAGACGACACAGGAAACAAGAGGAGGGAAGGTTATACGTTATACTTCAAAGCTTTAGAAAAAGTGCAGAAGGAACCTGGATCACTCTGGATATATACAGTACCCTCACAGTAACCCACAAGATGTTTCCAGATTTTTACCTGCTTAGTCTATTAAATTAAAGGTGTAGGTAAATAATCGTATGATCTCCCTGTAAAGTCTAACTGCCTGATGGGATTACAAAAAGATTGACATGAAGCATTATTTAGTGGCTGCATTATTTTCCCAGTCTGATTGTGTTACTTTCTAGAGTGGTATGCCTGTTGCTACCACAAGATTCTGCTTTCCCTCAGCCAATTCATATTCTTTCCTTAGCTCAACTGTTAAGTTTCAAGTGTAGTTTTCTATAATGTATTCAATTTAATTTTCTATAAGAGCAGCCAGCATGCGCACACACAGGGGTTAATTGGAGATGGGTGTGTTGCAATAGTGAATCATTTCGAAAGCAGTCCCTACTTTAATTATACGCTTGCATCTTTAATTACAGATGTCTCCAAGAGCACATTTTCAATTTTTATTCACTGTGGGAGGTGCTTTTTATATATAGCTTACTAATATGCTTCCCACAACCCTTTTTTGTCACCAGTTACGGGGATTAATACCATGAAATGATTATTTGTGTCGTAATCTGGCTCTGTGGCACCATAACAAACCCACAGAAAACAAGAATTGATCTTTTATTAAACCTACATTACACATTTCAGTGCAGACGACATAAAGACAGCCAGCAGCCCGGAAAAGGGTGAGTTTGTATGTGTTATCAGTACATTTCAAAGATTAAATTCGAGCTTGGAGACAGTACAGATAAATGTTGCCATTATTTCACTTGTAGTATGACTATAACTACTGGTTTCTTCATGGTTCTGTTTCTGTAAGTGAAAATACTTGAGCACTGTGTGAAGTTGGAAAGTGAATGTGTTTAGTACTGAAATGAAGTTTTGATTTTTTTTTCTTTTGGTATTGGGGTATAATATCATAATGGTTATGATCATTTGATTTCGTATAGTGTGCGCAGGACTATTGGTACAAAGTGTCTGGCATATACTGTATGCAAAGGAACAAGTAATAGGTTTATTCCAGGCCGAAAAGGCATGGAATACCTGAAGAGGACTCCACAGCCGAAACGTTGTGTTTACTCTCTTCTCTTTTCAGCACGGAATAAACCTGTTACTTGTTCCTTTGCAGCCTACGCATGCTGACACAGCTCCCCACCTGATATACCATATGCTACACCACAGGCAAATGAATGGTGTACAGGCCTGTATGAAAACTGTATGACCTACATCACTGTTTCCTCAGTTTCTCATGTTTATATTCATGGTTGTTTTAGTGCAATAGCACAAATAGCACTGACAATAAATATAGGGGGGAAAAGGTTCTGACATAATAATGACACTTGATACATGAGCATCTGTTTCCATTCACTCTCTTAATAATAAGGTGGGGTACCCAGATTTCTCCATCTTGGGGACTAAGCATCACACCTTGTTGTGGCTAATCTCTGGCAATTGGCCTGTGGTCTCTGCCCTTGAGAGATGACAGCCAGACTGCCAGTATCCAAAGAACAGCACACACACTGGGAGAACAGGCAAACTTTATAAAGATGGGTGCTCTGGAGCCAAATCAATCCAGGAATTCTGGCGCTGACTGACAGCACTAAGTAAGTTTCCTTTATTATTGATTATATTTTAGGCAGGGTGTAATATGTCATCCATACTCAATGCATGTAGGCCTTCAAGTGTCTGAGACAGGAATGCATTTCCAGTACAAAATGTATACATTGCTTTCCCAGCTTCACAAGTACTAGATAAAGTAGTGATCCATATGTTCACAGTATATTAGATATCATATTCATAGAAAAAGCAAAGTAGCAAATGACTGTGGAGTCCAGTTCCTAAATGTTATTGAAGCACTTCAAATTCCTTTTCTTGTGACACACATCATTCTCAAATCACTAAAACTGCTTTCAGTTTCGTCAGTAAACAACACATTTTTAAGATCAGCCAGAATTCAAACCGTTTTAAAGCACAGCTGCCATATACAGTAGGATGGAGATTTTATTTTGATAAAAAAAGCATAAACAGGCTACAACATAAAAAATTGTCACAGTAAAAAAATACAGTAAACGACAAATGTCCTCAATTGTGAATAAAAAAAAATATTTTGAATCTTCTAGAAGGGCCCATCTACTTTCACCACCTCTGAAGTGTTTAATATACAGTATATTACAGATAGACATTATATGCTTTGGGAAGTTTTTGTTTTGTACTTAATTGTTAAAAAAACTGTTGCGAAATAAAAAAAAAACAGGGCGGTTACACAAAATAAATACAATGAAACACATTGAGAGAGTTACGTGAGGAACATGCGAAAATCTATTTAAGCTGCGCAAATTGTTGAGGGTCAGTCCACTCCTTGTTTAAGGAAAATGAAAATAATAGAGTGTTTTGCTTAGAAGAAAAAACCTCTTTGTTATAAAACAATGATTTCTTAACATTAGCTTAATCGCAGTTTTTAATTCACCCCCCCGAATTTAGCATATATGTGTAGGACGGTTTTAATTTGAAATTTCTGTCCATTCCTCAACAATGATCAGGTATGGTTAATTTATTTTATTAAGTGCTGGTCTCGTGGAGTCGTCGAAATTCACGATAAATTCATTGAATCCTTTACAGTTTAATAAAAGTAAGGCAAGATGATGGTGATAAAGATAATAGGTGTTGTTTTCTTCGTCGTGTTTGTAAATGTCGTGTTACTGCATGTAAATTAATGCAGTAAGATGCTTTATTTCAAATGACACCCAGACCTAAACAATATATTGGCTATTACGTTTTCAAATGTCTAGTTTCAGAATGTTGTTTTGTTTTCCGTTCTTTATAGAACAACATTTTTAAAAACCGAAATGAAATTATCGTCATTGCTAAGGCCTATTACTACTTGCTGTAGTAAAACCAGGCTGCTGATATTACTAACAACAAAAGTGCCATCTGTAAACAATAAATAAATAATAATGAACTTGGACACACAGGGTTAAGTGAGTCTGGAATAACCTGTTCATATCGTTCGATCCCTTCCTCTTTCAAATAATAAAAAAAAAATATATTCCAGTCTACATTCTGGTTTGCGTGTATTACTAAATTATGAATTAGGTCTACAGTACACGAGACAATGTAAGAATATGAATACATATTAAACAGCACTAAAGTGGAATTATAAATAGCACATAAACCTATTTTAAACGCCCAAATCAAAAGGTGGACATTTGCACATGAATTAGCTAAGCTATATATATATATAATCCAGGCAGAGATGTTGCATGCAGTTTCACTTAACAAGTACAGTATTACTTTCTAATACAAAATGATTGATATGACTCTTGATCTGAGCAAACTCCCGTCTCTTTAAATCTCTGGTTTTCATTCAGTTTCATAAGGTTTTTAATCAGAGCTTGGAATGAGTGTCTAACGCTGCAGATGTACAGTATTTATTTAATAGGTCAGGCTAGAAAGAAAGACATACTAATACAACCGTGAGGGGGTGTGCTGGATTCAGCCCTTTCTGGCATTTACGAAATGAATTAAAATTTCCCGTTAAACTTTCCATGCTAGCTTGGTTATGGCACTAAACAGCAATTAAAGACATAACAGCACATACAAAGCGGCTGCTACATCATAGGACAGTGGAATCGTCCACTGTAAGTCAGAACTAAACGAGAATGATTCACTTCTTCCTACTCGTGACAATTTGCATTGTGTGTGAAGCTTGCTGTGTTTTGCTCTAACTGCAGTCATTTTGGTAGCTTTTTCACCGAGCGGAGACATCTTGATATAGCTTAATATAGCTAATAACACAATGCCTGAAGATTCCTTATTACCACAGAGGACCTACCGAAAATTTCCGACCTTTTTAATCAGTTCGCAGTTTTTCAAAACAAGTAGCTCGTTAATGTTGTTCTGCCTGTTGTGGTCATCATCTCTTAAGCGAGAGGCGGACCCCTGTTTGAGATGCACTATTTCAGAGATTTTACAAGAACAGTGCGGGCTTTTGAATGTCTTCTCTGATATTTGGGTGTTCTTTTTCTTTTTGGATTACCTTTTGGATTTGCCATGAAGATTCTGCCGACTGAGGGCCATTCTCAAATCCGGTGTCGCATCCAGAGAGCAAAAGAAAAAAAGAAGAACATCTGAAAAAACTCCACATGCTCAGGCGGTCTCTCACACTGTGCGCCGGATCGGCGACCTCGTCTCTTCTACAAGTGAGTTTGTTTATTTTTAAACGCGTCTTGTCAGCGTATTAGCACGTTTCCTGAAAAACTGGAACCGCCAGAGATCAAACGGCCCTAGCTCGCCATTAAATACAAAATGAAAGCTTTAAAAAAACAAGGCAATGCTACAATCATAGACAAAGGTGCGTGGTTTTCAAAACGCTATACATCGTCAGGTACATCAGACAGTGAGAAAGAGAGAGACGAGCGTCAGTAAAGGATCAGAAAAAGAAAATTCTTGCTCTGTAGTACCCATGCGATCGGTGTGCAAGACAAAGGCATTCACTATAAAATCTCCCCCCACTTAGCCAGCTCACACCAGTGAGAAAGAAAACCACAAACGTAGGCGTAACCGTGGAAACGGTAATATAATTTAAAACATGCCACATAACCAACTACGTTTGGACAACCTATTAAAAGAAATAAACGCACAATGCCCTTTACTATTTCATCCAGATTCTCTTCATAAAGGCAATTTTGAGGCACCACTTCTTGACAGACAATTACAGTTTCAATGATTTCAAATGGAATCGTATATAAACAGCTATAAAAACGGGTATATAATTTGTCATTTTGAAATTATGGAGTATGAGCTCTCTTGCTGCAGTTAGCTGTTTAGAAATGATGCACGTGATTCCAATCGGAACAGCCAATCAGCGCGATGCTTTTCAATGTTGCACGTCAATCTCCCATAGAACAGCGAGACAGTATTTCTGCAGCGTTTTTTCTCGTGGGAGATATCTAAAGTGACTGCCCCGTTTTTAACCACGCATATTACAACTAAAATATATTGAGATGACTATTTCAAAAGGTAAGGTTTCGTTTTATATGTTGTATCACATCACATGATGAAATAATAGTTCATGCATGCCGCACACAGAGCATATATCCTGTCTTTCATATTGCGTTTTTAGTTATGGTGGGAAAGCTGTTTTTTTACCTGCAAATAAACGCACTGAAACTAATAGAATCGCATTTACGTGTTTTTTATTTTCAGTATCGCAGGAAAAAAATATTAGAAGACCTGTGTTTTTTTTTCTTTTGGAAAGAAAAAAAAGTCGTATACTTTTAATATTTTAGCTCGTATGTTCTTAAGGTTGGGGAGAAATGTGATATAAATAGTACATTTTAACGTATTTTCTTTCTTGTACCATGTGTTTAATCAGATAAAACGGTCTTTGCAACCACTCCGACTCTCGACTTCAGAGCAACCGAGGTCATGTTTTTATTTGTCGTCCCATCGGAGTTTTCATGACGGGCATAAATAACAGAAAAAAGTAAAACACTTTATATCTATGTTGTTTTATATATATTTATATTATTCAACTTGTACCCGATTGCGCCAACGTTTTTTTCGCGGTTTGAAGCGTAGCGCTGATTAAATGCAGTAAGGGGCTTTTTCGAAAAAGTGTTTTGATGTTTTCATGTTCTTTGAACTATAAAATGCGGAGATGATTAATTTTGTCATTCTAGCTACGAGAAAAGATTTAAATGAATCGAATGAGCTAACACATGAATACTGAGGGGGAAAAACACCTTCGCAACAATGGAATTAATGTCGAACCCATCGAAGGCATTAAGATTGCCATCTGAGCGGACATTTTGAGATAGAAACTGGTCTTGAAAAAGAGTAAATAAGGTCGTGTCTTTTTTTTCACTTGCACAATGCTCTTAATTCCAGAATGTTTTTTTAATAAACACTGGAAGCAGAATGTTATATATAATGCACGAAAATCTAATTTGCTCTCCAAATGAAAGGTTGAATAAAATAATTCGTGGGCTTTTTATTTTGTAAAATCAGGTACGAAGTGAATAAAATATCTAATTTTATTTCCATGTAGATTTGTATGTACGCAAATGTGGATTCTAAACGATGAGCGAGTGAGTTTTGAAGTAGGCGCAACAATGATTAATAAAGCGGTTCTGTGGTGGAGATCGGTTTTAAACAGCGCTTGAACTGAATGTGTGGATTGCAAGTGATTTCTGAGTGGGGATTTTAAATATTTTGACTGAGGTGATATGTTTTGTTTTTAATAAACTGTGTCTTTTTTTCCCCATTAACTGAAAATGAGACTTTAGTCCTGCAATCCAAGTTTTTACCCACCCACTCCATACTTTATCCTGATATTTTCACTGTTCCCAATTGAATACTGTAGGTATTGTTTGACAATTCTGTTTTCTTTTTTTTTCTCAGTAGTATGGGGGACATTGCTGTCTTCGCTGCTGACCATGATGTTCACTGCTTCAGGAACGACAACAACAAATTATCGGAAACAACGTAAGTCCACGTTTGTTTGTTTGTTTTTTTTTAAATTCTCAACAAGGACAAAACCACAGACACAGAGAGATACATTTATTTTGTCTAACTCGTTCCAACGTGGCTCAGTATAGCTTGTTTTGAGGTGGACATGGGGTGAACGATGTGCTGCCGTATCCCACCTCGGATCCAAGTGTAATCTCTGAATCTGGCAACGGAGTATTTGGAACATAAGGTAGTGGTAGCAACAGAAGTAGTAAATATTATTAGTAATATTAGCACAAATGAAGAAGGAATAAACCTTTACTTGTTCCTTTGCAATAGTAGGAGTGGTAATATACTTACATTAGTAGTATTGTCGTTGCACCAAGAGGCACACAGTAAATTAAACTTAAAGATCGACAAATTGTAGGAAACCGTTAGTTGTAGAAAAAAAGTACTTAACGCAAGACGACACGAGAACTTAAGAAATGTTTAAAATTAGAGAGGGCCGTATGGCCTGTCTACCCCGTGTGACTGATAACTTGTAATAAAATCTGTATCCCTGTGTCTAACCCTGACGATTATTGGGTGAATACACGTCACCGAAACGCAAGAGATCCAATACAGTCGAGAAGAGGGCCTTTTAAGTGGCCGCATTTGAAGGGCATAGGTGGAAGAATGCGTTGGATATCTGAAGATGGAAATGTGTGGACAGAAATCTGATTCGGACCGCCTTTCATTCGTTAACGTGTCGATAAATGGTGAGGAACATAAAATCATTCTCAACATAATACAACTTTCTAATGCTAGATACAGATTCACATATGATAGACACATAATGCATGTATAGGCCTAATTGCGATGTCTAAAAGACTGTCGTGTAGTGAAATGCGGCAGATTGAAAACAAGCTGAGGCAGTGGTAGATACAGTACGTTTGATTTTTTTTATTTTTTTTTTTGCAACGAAGGTGTTTTGGACAGCAGTTGGAAGCGCTTCTGTTTATTTCACCAACTAAGCCAACAATAATTAGAGTGAATACGTTTTTTGCTCGCATATTCATCGAAGCTTGAAAATATATTTTACGGACATTTTACTACTGCTGATGTGATGGTAATTTTTATTAACAACATTATTTTTAGGGTCTAGAACATCTATGTATGTAAAATTACATATCTAATACATATAATGTGAGATTTTGCATGTGCTACATTCTTGATTTGCTTTTATTACAATATTTGGTCTGGACAACATTTGTCTAGACACACTAAAACATCTTGTATAAACACGGGTAACACTTTCTATTAAGTAATAAAACCATACAATATTAATGTATTTTTGCCTAGTAAAGGAACTTTGTGCTTTGCTGGGAAAATTTAAGATTACGGTTTATTTACTGTATTTTCACGGGGTTACTTGTCCCTAACCGGTATTTTTAACCACGTCCTTATGTCTATCCGTATAGTTTGGTCGTGGAAAGCAGTTTTTACAGTAACCAACTTTTCAAATGATTCACTGCCTGCGGGGCGATACGTTTCGTGCTTCCCAGTCTGACGCAGGCGTCAGGCCTGTGGTAATCATACCGAGAAAACTGTACAGATAAAATGGGTGGTGTTCTACAATAGCACAGTAGTAAGAAAGATGGCCCATATTCACGGAGTGTTTAACACTGTTGTTTCACTGGGCCTTCTGTGAAACAGCAGACAAAATGTAGTGCTTCCAGACCTAGCCTAGACCTCGTTGCATTTAGCTACCCTATGGCTTGTTGTGTATGAGGATGAACCCTCTCTTACTTGAATGAGGTTTTAACAGACTTGGCATCACAAATCGGAAACACTTCATTCATTTTCAACAGCTAAATCAAGAACGTTAATGGCTCACTCTAGCAATAGGACATTGACACATTTTCCACATTTTTACTTTTCTTTGGTTATTGTTTTCATACGTTTACACCATGGAATATCGCTCTTTGCACTAAGTAATACCCTGAATACCTACTGCAGGCCGTGAGCAGATTTTGTTTCGAGTGCTGTTGTTAAACGACAGGGTCTAGCCCATGTGAATGCTAAAGAAGGAAATCATTTGCGTTCTAGAGGATGTGTTCTAATTTCTTCTGTGAGACCTGTAAATAAATAGAAAAGGGAGGGCTTAAACAATGTGCTGCAGACTGCTCAGACACCCAGGAAGGTGAACATTTCTGGCGTGACCACAGGCTGTTAAAAGTAAAAAAAAAAAACTAGACAAATTCAGATGTTTTATTGATCTAATATGCTGATTTTTTTAAATCATCCCAGCCATGAAAATAATCTTTAACATTTTTATTAAATGTAGTTGAATTTAAAATAAATGATCAAATGTATGAATCGATTGTTTCCTATTCGTGTTAAATGGTGTTTGCCATACGAGGTGAGCTTTACTGGCAGGGGTGTGTAACTGGAGAACCATTTTATTTTTATTTTTTTGCTAAACCAATATTATGTTGCAGGAAATATCTGACAAAATTTCCAATGTAAAACTGCATTTCCCTGCAAATACTCACAGAGCCATGAACATAAATATTTACCAACAGGGCTCCACAAGATGATATTATTTTAATAGTTAGGGCGCACGAACACGCTTGACAACTACGTCCGTGTAATACACACAACTGCCCGGGTTCGTTCTATTTTTGAAACAAAAACGACCATAATTGCAGTACAGTACATAAAATGGAGGAGTACTGACAGTTATACAT